CCCTTCAGGAAGCAGCCCGTAACAGCTGTCTAACTCCCAGGTACCTATTTACTGCTAGGTGAACACGGGCATCTGGGTGAAAGAAACGCTGACCATTTGTTTCCGCCATCGCCGGGGATCAATCCCCGGACCCTAGGATTACGAATACCGAGCGCTGTCCACTCGGCCATCAGGCCCCCCATGTGCGTGTGCTTGTATATGTATACAAATACAAATTTAGAACGTCATTTAGAAACCTAAGTATGGAGGTGTTTCGGGGACTTTACACTGCCTACGTGAGACCAGTCTTAGAGTATGCAGCCCTGTTGGACACACGACAAAAAACGTGAGTGATCCCTCACTGTCTCTAGCGTGGGAAGGGGGGGGGGGTATCTGGGTTAAATACCCTGGAACTCCCACCTCTTTTAGGGCTATGGGAATGGTGTAGTGGATTTAAGTGCCTACCTGCCATCTTGATGGGCAGGGTTCAAGTTTCCTGGTGGGTGTGTGTCTAAAAGTTGTATACTTCAAACTTGTGGTTTAAGCAAGTCAGTGCATTATATATATATATATATATATATATATATATATATATATATATATATATATATATATATATATATATATATATATATATTATATATTAGAAGTAGTCGTTCTTGAAACCGTTATAACACACGCCCAAAAGTTTCTTAGTTTCCTCTTCACTGTGGAGAGAAGTTGACATATATGCTTCTAAAGTTTATAATACACGACGCGTTGACCTGTCATGTTTGGGCAAGTTCATCTTAGCATCTTCAGAGGCTGAGTAAATGCATAATTAAAATAGAGCAGCATATAATTAATGTGGATATGTGCTGGAAGACTTGGTTAACCTGTTGATGGGAGAGGTGGGATCCGAGAGCTGGAGCTCAGTCCTGTACAAAGGACCGTGAATAAAGAGATGACTACACCATCTTCACGATAGCAGCTTGACGATTAAATGCGACCTCAGACCACTGAAAAGATTTACTGAACAAAAAATTGTACCACTTACGGGCTATTCATGCCCGTGCCACCACCTCTTGGGTGGCTTAATCTTTATCGATCAATCTTACACCATCTTGGCCTAACATACTAAACAAACCTTTAATTATCCAAGTGTGTAATTAGAGAGATGGTCGACTGCCACAACAAGACTCCATAACGTGTCTAACTTCTCCCCTGATGCAGGCCAAGTGTTTGAGGTGTTTGGTGGGGAAGCTAGGGTGGTGGGGGGTGTGGTGGTGGTGGGGGTGTGGTGGTGGTGGGGTGTGGTGGTGGTGGGGGTGTGGTGGTAGTGGGGGCAGGGAGGGGAGTGGGGGGGGAATGTGGTGGGAGAGTGTGGTACAGAATGTAGTATCATTCCAATAAAAGGCAGCTGGCAAGAGTCAGGCACCAGTTCTTGGTCCCCGCCTTTCTTCATGTGGGTCACTTATTGACAGTTTTATCTGCTTTTAAAACCATGACTAAGTCTACTCTTCACACTCCTGTCACTCACGTGTGTCTCTGGTTCCCACGCATATTCTCTCATTATGTTACTGCTCGACCTAAACCTTGTATTATCTATCCCTTTGAAAGATATACTTGAGTATTGTATATATCTGGATCATGTCTCGGTATTTATCCCTTTTTAAAGGGTTATTAAATTCTGCTCACTCAGTTCTCGAATTTCATTGTGTAACAATCCTATTTACTTTTTGCCCGTGTGCCCTTTTTTTTCTGTATGGATTCCACGCAGGTACTGCATACTCGAGCACTGGTCTGACGTATGATGAGCAAAACGCTTCCTTGTTTACGTTCCGGAAACTACCGCGATGTTCGCCAGCTGTGCGTATGTCGCTAATGTGACTGTATTTATGAGGCTTCGAGCAGCGGTCCGGTGATATATATCTCGCTGCACGTCGCTATGTACGTGATGCTTGCTGCCCCGCTGCTCGCTGGGCTCTGATATACGCCTATACTTAACCCCGAAGCTTGTTCCACGCTTTACAGACACTCAGTAAATATATGAGGCGGTAGAAAGCTACGAAGCTTATTAAGGTGATTCGAGACTAACTGTAAACTGAAACGAACAAACTGGGTTAGTGTTTGCATAACATTATCAAAGTAATGGATGTGTTGTGGAGGGAAGTGAGGGGGGGGGGTGATGGTTGCTGTTCCCTCAGTCCCCTCCCCTCCCCCCCACATAATCAGCCACAATCCTCAAATCGTACCTCGTAAAAATGGCCTCGATGGGCCATAATTGGTCAGCGTTCACAAACCTCAAATACTACTGGCGAGTGACACGAGTTCAAGCACACTAGCCGTCCGGCCAATTTACCTCCCAGCACGCAAGCACGAGGTAGATATCCAGGCTAGAGGTCCCCTCGGCCTCGGGGGGACAGCACCAGTACACCCTAACACCAGGGTATGGAAGTGGACCCCTCGGCCCCGGGGGCACAGCACCAGTACACCCTAACACCAGGGTATGGAAGTGGACCCCTCGGCCCCGGGGCACAGCACCAGTACACCCTAACACCAGGGTATGGAAGCAGACCCCTCGGCCCCGGGGGCACAGCACCGGTACACCTTAACACCAGGGTATGGAAG